TTTTCTTTTCAATTTTGAAAACCCTTTAACAAAAACAAAACAAATAGAAGTATATATATGTATAAAATGGAGCATTTGCTAGATCAAATCATCTTTCTTCATCCCATCCTTATTCTTCTCCCCTTCTCTTTCCATTAAAGTTCATCATACTAAATACCAGAGATCACATCCTAGGATTAGTACAATACACAACATTAAAATGTATTTTGGTTAATCCGTTATATATGCATATGCATAAATAATCATAATTATTACCAGAGAGATAGCGAGAGCAAGTTGAAGAATCCTCCAAGGTAATCCAGTAACCATCTCGACATTTTCTCTCATCACTAGCTAGTCATTTTCAATTATATGTGAAATTTCCTCCATTAGTTACGCTCATGCTCTTTATCGGGATATTGTTCATCGTTGATTCCTAACTCCGAAGAGGTTTTTTTTTTTGTTAAAAAAAATCCGATTATATGGTAGGGGTTGTTTTAGGTTGCATGTGTTTCATCTATGACTAACAGATTAGAGATAGAAACATTTTCTTCATAACTACGTTTGAATTTTTGTTTTCTTATGAAAATTCCCTTGAACAATGAAATTTACCTTCTCATGTTGATAAACCATATACTCTTGTTTGTGTTTGTGTATATATATCAGTATTATGTAACATGCATATTTCATTTCTAAAGTTTACCTACCGTTTGTACTTTTACCTTATACAAGTGAAAAGGGACACTAATAGGTCCCACTCCGAGAAAAGAAACGAAAATACTATACCATATTTTGTTTTTAACCTTTTTTTTGGGTCAACTTTGATTTTTAATCCCTAAAACGATAAATATGTTTTGTGAAATATATAGTCTATAATTGCAATGCATTTAATAATATTTGATTACGATTTTCACTTCCTTAAAGATGGAGCAGAAAATTATAACTCTACAACCATTGCAAGAGTCAAAAGCAACATCTTTCATTTTTAATGAAAAAAGCAACGTCGTCATGATCAATTACCCATGTATGAATAGTTCATACAACATATCTAAATACTACTATATATTATCGGTTTTCTGAAAATTATTAATGGAGATTCCTAATAGACTTTATAGGACTATTATTTTATAAGGTTATTGATTATCTATTGTTTCATAAGTTAAGTAGTGGGGACTAAACTGCAAATGCACGATAGTATGTATCTATTTGATATTGCTTTCAAAAATTGTATTTTATTACGGGCCACGTAATTGGGCCATAAGAAGACCCGGCAATCCACGTGAAAGAGAATCCTTCCCACTAACCATCCACGTTATCACATTAATCTTTTAATAGTTTCTTATTAATTACTCCATTCTATATATTATCTGCCATAAATTTTTTGTTGGTACAACAAAATCCATCTTTTGTTTGTCGAACTCCAGAACAATTTTTATTTTCTTAACTGTAAATTACCATTGCCATAATAGAACGTAAATGAATGCTACAACCAATACAACTTTTTGAAGTTATTAACAAAGAAATAGCTTAATCTATACATAATGATCTACCTACCAGGCTACCACAAACTCAGAGAAAAAAAATCATTAATTCATTACATATCCCTAGAAGAACTCCTTATTAAAACATTCAAAAAACCTTTCTTTTTAAATTTCCGATAGCAAAAATCCAAATACATAAAATAACATAGATCCATTCTCCACGCGCTTCTTGAAATCTCTAAGCCAGAGTCATTAGCTAAACGGTACAACAAATCGTATATTGCTTTTCTTATTTACGTATATTAAGATGTTTGATTCAAATTTGACAAAAGGAATCGAATATATCGAAATAATTCCTTGTCGTGGTTTACACGCGCCTAAGGAGAGCGTGAAGGAGTAGTGAATCTAAACCTGAACTGTCTCGAGTCATTAAGTGAAAGTGCATGGAAAATCTCGAGTTGTTGTTTCCTACACCTCTCTGTTTTCTTCATATTTTACTACTTCCTATACGTATCAACTTGTAAGCAAACCTTTTTCTTCAAACTTTGATCCATAAATCCATACATATCGACGTATCACAAATATATATAAATACAGAGTGACTAAAGCTCTTCATTTTTTTCTCTAGCAGGATTTAGTTTTGATGGAGGAAAACCCGCATCGAGTTTCACGTAGAAACCACGGCGGGACCCACTATCAAAACGACACCGTCGATGATGAGAACCGTCGTCATCATCGGCATTACAGCCACCACCACCACACTCACGGAGACGAAGTCAAATGCTCCGGTAACGGCAAGAAATGCCGGTCGTGGGCAGCGGCGGCGATTGCTGACTGTGTAGCGCTTTGTTGCTGTCCATGTGCGATCATAAACCTTCTTACTCTCACTTTTGTCAAAGTCCCGTGGATGATCGGACGGCGATGTCTCGGCGGCCG